TATTGTGGGGTTTTTAAAGCAATAACTGTGCAAGATGCTTGGCTTGGCTTGTTTTTCGTTTTTTTTTTTTTTTTTTCACAGTCAGCATTTTTTATTAGTCCTGCCTATGTCGACGACATGACTGTGATGATTTAATGCTGGGTTCCATCTTCCATAGAGCAGAGAGGGGGAGAAGTTACCCAATCCGATGTTGGTTTGGGAGGAGCAGGCACCAGGACTGCAGGTGCTTTCTCTGGACAGACTCTGCCCGTCGCCAGTGCTCCTAGGTGTCAGAGGAGTTTACATTGTGCCGCAGTAGAAGGTGCATTCTCTTGTAGCTATGACTCGCCCTTGTATTATGGACTTGACTGGAGAGACTCCCCTGGTGTAAATGAAGTGCTTTATTTATTAACAGCCAGGCAGCGGGGGCGAGAGCTCTCCACGCTGGCAAATGCCCGGCATGCACTGGCAATAAAGGCTTTCTCTAGGGGCAGAGTGTGCTGAGCACTGGAAGAAGGAAGCAGTAGTAAACAAGGTGTTTTACATTCAGGACAGTCTCTCTCTCATCTTGAAGTGTGTAATTGTGTTCTGGATAAATTATGGCAATAAAAAAAAATCAGAAGTTGCTCATAAGGAAATAACCCTCTTTAAAAACAAGTAAATTTTCCAAGACAGAGCCAACAGAACCGTGGCAACAGATCCTGACGCTGGCCAGTGAAACAAAGTACAAGCTGTATGGGCTTGGAAATCCTGGGGGAACTGGGTTCAAACACCAGCTTGGTCACTTAGCTGAATTACATCAGGTACTTAGTTCAGTCTCAGAGGCTTGGGGGTTTTTTGTTTGTTTGTTTTTAATCTTTAGAGTGGGATACTGACAGCAACAGGAGTTTGAGAGTGAAAAGTTTGTAAAGCATCCAGCACAGTGCATAGCACCGGAAAAACATTTGTTCCCTTCCCCGTTTCTCATGAAGTTCTTGCTTTACAGTTTGCCCCATTGTCTCCCCAAGGTGGCTGCGTTGTTGATTGAGAAGTTTCCAGTCGATGCTAGTCATTTGTGCAATGCTCTTTAAATGGAGCTTAGAACAAAATGAAGTTTTAGGAAAGAATCCATAAACCATGCAAATTGAAAATTGAATTCATAGGGGGTTGATGTACACATAACATCCCCACCTCCAACTCTGGCCCTCACCAGTGTGGCTGTAATTGTCGCTATTAATGATCAAAGTGGTTTTTTTTGTTTTTTTTTTTTTTTTTTTTTACATCACAAGCTTTCTCTTCATTGTGATGAATGCCCTGGCAACTTCCAGTTTACTACAGGAGACTTGCCTCAGTGGGCCTCCCTTATACCAGTGGTTTATACTTAGAACTATAGAGTAAGTCTGGAAGTTGTGGGGAATAGTTGCTGTTGTACATGGAAATCCAACTTGATTCTGTCTTTAAATCTGGCAGTAAAAAATATCTATATGTGCCATCATTCCACCCTCACAATAAATTACCTTGCAATTAACAGTCTTATTGAATGGCTACAGTATATTGTATTTATTTGTTTTTTCCCCAGTATATGTACTATTTCTGCCTTAACATGATATCTGCTAATTGGGTTTTAGAAAATCAGGCAGATTTTTAAAAATGGATTCTTTAAGAAAGGCAAGGAAGTTGCCTGTTTATACCCTTCTGCTACACATCAAATTGTGTTTTACGACAACCTAATTGTGGTGATATCTATTTCAAGGGGAGATTTATCAAGTCACAGTGCACCCTTCTGTTTGGAAGAAAGATTTGAGGATGTGAGCAGAAATTATTTTTACATAAAGGCTTCAGGCAGTTAAGAGAACTGACATACATACCATATTTTCATCACTGTCATTCACTTCCTTTGCCTCAAATAAATAGGTCATTATTATTCCACTGCAGCCATCTTCTGGGGCCTCCGTGTTTGGAGCTCTGTTTAATATAACTGCCATCCAGCTGACCTGTATAATTTATTGGTGATTCTTATGGAATGGCATCTTTGGGCCACTACCATGAGCCAAGGCACTTTGATATCGCTCAGCAAACTATTTCATTATCACTTAAAACTCTTTTAGCATTAGTATTATAACCATATTAACACAGCCAGGAATTGTTATTTTCTGAGACACTTAGTTTTAAGTTGGTCTTAGCAATTTCAAAAAATCAAGCAGCAATGTTAATGATACCACACAGCAGAGCACATGATGTGCCAGAACACAGCAAGGGCAAACATTTGCAAATGACAAAATTTTACCTGAATTATTTGCTCAGGAGTGACCTATTAGAATAATCTAGTCTTACATCACTTAATTATCAGTAATAATTGAGAGTGTTTAGATGCTTTAAAAACAAACAAAAAAATCTGATTCTATTTTATTATATTCTGTGCTTACAACACTAAGTCATGGTCAATTCTCTGCTCCTACTCCCTATGTGAATGTTTTACAGCCTTAACAAGAGTATAATAAATACCCCACCCCACCCCAGAATATGCTAACCTTAGCATTTCAAATAAAGAGCTAAAAATTAAAGCGTTTGGTTATTTCCACAGGAAATATTCCATCACAGCATAATTGAATTGCAATTAGCTTTAAGTTCCGGTAACTGCAAGATGGTCGTGAGCTGTGAGGCCTTGGTTTATGCCACAGGGTTTAATGCTGTCAACAGGCAGCCTTCCCACATGCACCTTTTAATAAATTGAGGATTGTTGTTTGTGTTGCTAATAAACTTCCTTTAGGTGGAAGAAATCCCTCCCACAATCCACTAGGACTCCCTGTGGTATTCTGGTCTCTGCATGTCCCAGGACCAAAGACTCTGATAGTACTTGAATTGCGCAGCTTAACTTTTCCTTAATTTTCTTACCAGATTGGGTTACCCTGAGAATATAAGGATGTTGTCCTTTCTGTTCAGGGCCAGCAGATCCACCTGGAAAAGCTTACTTGATTGACAGGAATTCCCTTCTTGTTCTCTTCAAGTCTGGGAGTAAACTGCTCCCTCCAGCTGAGTTCTGAATTCTGTGTTTGTCACAGTAATCCACTGAGGAGAAAATAAGCATCCCTTGATTTTTTTTTTTTTCTGATCACTTTTTCTCTTTATTGTTATTCTTGTAACACTGTTCAGCCCACTAAGCCTCTACTCTAGATCAAGCCAGGGAAAATGTACCCTCTCACTCACTACAAGCCCTGTGGGCCTGCGTTCTCACACCCAGGGTAATTCCCTGGATCACGGAGCTCCAGGTCGGGTTTCATTTTGGTTTGCTCCTCAAGCATCAAGAATTTTTGTTTATCTGTGGCTCTAATAATTTTTTTTTCCCTTATCCTTCCAGCTCCCTGTCTTCTAATCCTTTGCCAGAGGCTGGTCTATTTCTAGGTGGATTTGGCTTAAAGCCATCTCAGACACCCCTTCTCACACTCCCCCACGGTGGCCTGCCAAAAAAGGATCCTTCAGCAGAAATGCGATAGCAGGTGGAAATCCTGCATTTATTCTAATTGCATCTCTATTTATGCTGCCTCAATTTTTTTTTTTAGATTAGTGTTTATCTTTGACCTTTGTTTCTGAATGTGACAACTTTTCCTAACAGAGGGAGTAAGCCATTCTGAGTGATATATAGCAGTGCCAGAGAGAGCTCCTGAAGAACAGAAACTTTGAGCCGTCATTCTTGTATGCCTGCTACTTCTCACACATAATAATGTCTTAATAAATGTTTAGATTTGACAGCTAGAGAAATGATGATGATGATGATGACGGCGACGACGATGACAGTGATGGTGATAGCAGTGACTACTGTTTATTCGTTTTTATGAGAAGCTAGAAACAGTGCTAAATGCTTTATATCATCCTTCTTAATTCCTCCAATAGCTCTATAGACAGCTTTTAATTATTATCCCCATTTTGCAAATGGACAACTGGCTCAGGGATTTTAAATAATTTTCCTGAGCTCACACAGCTAGAAAGCACTCTCTCTCTTTTTCCTGATCCACCGTTGATTCCACTGCCTATACCACACTTTTTGTTCTGTGAGTAGAGAATAGGTATTAGTTTTCACCCACATTGCAACTTTTTAGAGGCTAGACAACGCTATATTCTCCTATATGCCCTGCCATACCAGGTGCAAAATTGGACACTGGACAATTGCTTCGTCCTTTGCTTCTGAAATGAATTCTCCTCTCCTCCTACCTGTGCTGTGGATCATTTAGGACATTTAGGAGATGCCCTGGCTGCTGTCACTAATCTGCAAAGCAACAAGCTAGAGCAGATCTGAAGATAGCCTTCTATCTGTGGATCTGAAAGCCTGGACTTTTTAACATATTCTGAAAGAGATTTTCTAGATGGCTGGTGGGGGTGATTTGCAAAAAGAGAGGTGGGTTCAGGGCAACCTGGGGTTTGGGGTGAGTCGTGAAGGTTTGAGTTTTTGAGAGTATACTGAACTGGTAGCCTTCCCAGAATTTTATTGAGACTCCAAAGAGTCACAGTTCGATCCTCCCTCCCACACAATGAATAACCAAACTGCCTATGCGTTGGTAATGTCAGCATCCGCTAAGAAGATGAGACTACTGAACCCTCCTCCCTATTTCTATTAAGTGGCCCCTTGAGTCTTCTGTGAGATGACCAGATAGCTTCGCTCAAGGGCATGTGAGCCAAGGGTGACTCTACGTATCCTCCCTATTCCATTTGTGAGAGCTTCAACTCCTCACAAAAGCCACTACTCTGATCTCCAATACCGCCTCTGTCTACCACTCAACGAGAACAAAACACTGAAGGCTGGAACCTTGATATCCACAACTTTTGAGAGCGAGTCAAGTCCAGGATTAGCTGTATTTTATCTCTAGGTCTCTCCTCGATAAATAGACTCAGTTTATTAAGGACTACAGGAAAAGATATTAGAGCCATACCACATGTTGCTATTTGTGTTCATTGTTGTCTTATGTTTAATTCTCATTTTAATTGATCAAGTTAACTATCATTGATGGAATTTTTTTCTGAATTTTTTTCTCCCCATTTTTTTTAAGGTGATGGACAGAATTTGTTTACGAAAGACGTGACAGTGATCGAGGGAGAAGTTGCAACCATCAGCTGCCAAGTCAATAAGAGTGACGACTCTGTGATTCAGCTGCTGAATCCCAACAGGCAGACCATTTATTTCAGGGACTTCAGGCGTAAGTTCCCACCCCTGTGGTATTAGATGGCAACTTTTTTTCCTACACGTTGTCTTGATGAAGAGATTGCTAAGGCCACCTTCTTTTAATTTAATGTTAGATGCTTAAAGTTTAGTCGATTCTTTAGAGGGAAGAAGAGACAGGCAATCATAATCTTTCTACTTAATAGAAACCTTGAATGGTCCCTTTTAAAAGTAAGGCAGTCTTACTTTGCAATAGGAATTGATTGTAGTAATTCAAGGTGAATTGCAATTGAGTCCCAAATACTTAGCTGACACAAACAACTCAAATAGGGGAAGGCAAGGAAAATATAGCATTCTGAAAGGTAATCTGTTTGGGTTGAAGACTGAAGTTTCCAAAGCAATCTATGCCTATAAAGACAAAACCAAATGTCCTCTCACTGTAGACTGTGGCATGTGGAGGTATCTGTATGCTGAAGGCTTTCCAAATGTAATATAACAAAGGGCAATAATCGAAACCAGATTATGTATGATAGAAATGGCTCAAATGAGTGTCAGGGCTTGGCAAGAACAGAAATCATGTCTTTCTAAAAAAATGTTATTGAGAACATTGACACCTAATCAAAGCAGATGTCAAGCAAGTCCCTTCTTGGCTGCCTGTCTCTTTTCCTCCCCAATGCCTTAGGACAGGAGTGACCTGTGGAAAGAGTTGATATACCTAAGGAGCATACGAGGATGAAGGGGTTAAAAGGGAAAGAAGCCAGCTTTTTATTCTTAAACTGAATTTTTGTGATTGCATGCTAAGCTAATTTTTGCCAAAATTATTAAAGGATTTTAAAAGAGAACATTTGAAATACATCAGAAACCCACATATATTGCTTTTTTGGTGATTTTGATTGCCGGCTCGATACCTAATCAGTTCCATACAGTGAAGCTGAACGTAGCTAAAAAAACTGCAGGACCCGTTTAAGGCCTGTGTAGGGTCTAGGTTATCTGCTTTTGACAGCTCTAAAATCATATCAGCTATATTAAGATGTACCCAAGTTAAAAAGGATTATACTACTATGTAACATTTTAAAAATGATTTCTCATGTTGCTTTTGAAATTATTATTAGTCCTCTTTCATAATTTGGAGCCATTCCTTTCTAAGGCCTTGGATTTTTAGAGGCCGTGTAAGAACCGGTAGGCCCTTGTTCCTGAAGTCCCAATTCCTAGAAAGCTAATGGGGGCCCTGCACCCTGTGTCTGGGGACTCATGACCTGCCCTTTCCTTATGTTTTCATTTTGCCTATGTCTGACTAAAAAAAAAAAAAAAAAAAAACAAACAAAAAAAAAAAACAAAAAAAACGGAAACAATTTACAAGTACATGTTAAAGACCAATGGCTCCTGCAGTTGCGCAAAGGGTGTGTGTGTGTGCACTCAGACATGCACCCATGTGCATGAGTTTCATTTGGACAGGGTTATTCATCTACATGTAATTATTTCAAAAGCCCAGAATAATAACTCAAGTTGTAGGAAGAAGTACCCAGAAGGCACAGTGAGACGTAATACATTTTCCTGCTCTAGAGCTGCCCTTCGAGTCCTCTTTTTCCTCACTTCATGTAAGGAAAACAGACTCTCCGTTGTCTTGCCCCCAATCATTGACTCTCTGTGTTTTGTTTCACAGCTCTGAAGGACAGCAGGTTTCAGTTGCTGAATTTTTCTAGCAGTGAACTCAAAGTGTCGTTGACAAACGTCTCAATTTCTGATGAAGGGAGATACTTCTGCCAGCTCTACACCGACCCCCCCCAGGAAAGTTATACCACCATCACAGTCCTGGGTAAGACTTGCTCGGGGTGCTCATCCTAGGAAATGGGGTGGGAGTGCCCCTTACTCTGAGAGATGGCTTCCAGCAGCAAGGAGGAGGTTAATGGTGAATTTTCCTTTCAGACTTGTTTTAGGAAGAATCACCGCCCATCTTGCTGAATTTTAAAAATAGCCTATTTTACCAAATGTTCTAAGGAATGGCAATCAGCAGTCTTTATAGATTCCACCTGCTCTTGGGTTTCAAACCTCAAGCTTCAGAAGCAAAGATCAAGAGAATTTAGAGCCCTCAAATGAATCACTCACCACATGAAATGTCATTCCTTCTAACTCCCAGGATTTTTTTTCTTCTGTGCAGGAGAGGGGAAGAATGGATCCCACGTCTGTGCCCCACGGCAGAGCTCTGTTAGGAGCTCTGCCTCTTGATTTTTCCTTCCGAGTTGCAGCCTTGTTTTGATGTTGTTGATCTCCTGCTCTTTCACTTCACTTATTGTCTTGTTTATTCCTTATACTCCAGTATTTTCTGTTAAAAAAAAATTGTACCCCATGAACCCATACATTGCCACAAATTGCAACCACTGGGCATAAAAGGGTTAAGAGCCCCTTAAGGTATAATACACAAAAAACTGTTGAGAGGCTTCTAGGTACTCCTCTAATGAGTTGAGTGTCTTCATTTAGGATCACCAGATTGTGATTTTCAGCAAATTCCTAGTAAGTGAGATTTCCATTTCATGTTTTGATATAGTCAGCAGATATTTCTGTGTTGAAAGTGATCTGAGTTGGTCACCGTTTAGCCAGGCATATACCCCAGAAAGTAACTCTTAGCTGATCCAGATTTTTCAAACTGAATTTTCAAGGACATACACTCTAGTATAAGGCGAGATCTCTGATTTACACCTTCAGGAAGATGATGAATCAAAGTCTATTTGAGACGGCAGACTGCAGCTTCTCAGTGTAATGATATGAAGATGAAAGAGGAAAGATAAATATGAAGGACATTTTCGCTCAGTGTGTGTGCACATATATGTATGTATGGATGTCCATACTGAGCTGCTGCCTCATTGCTTTATTTAAACACAGCTGTAAAAGGGAACATATTTTTTATTCATTAAGCTAAAACATGTCCGCAAGCTTACATATTGCTCTTGATAAGAGGAATACTAATTTTAGAAAGCCATGTTTCAAGTCTGTGTGCGTTTTCTAACATAGTCTGTATTTAATGATGATGGCTTTCAGGTATACATATTTGTCATGATTGTGGTTTTAATCCATATCAGCCTGTTGAAGCCATAAGTGTAGAAGGTTTCCCTGGGGGACAGCGTAGTGGCTTAGCTGGTTAAGACACTACCTATGGGGTTGACATCCCATATGGGCACCGGTTTGAGTACCAGCTACCCCACTTCTGATCCAGCTCCCTGTTAATGGCCTGGGAAAGCAAAGGACAATGGCCACGTGCTTGGGCCCCTGCCACCCACATGGAAGACCAGGATGAAGCTTCTGTCTCCTGGCTTTGGCCTAGCCATTGCCACCATCTGGGGAGTGAACCAGTGGATGGAAGATCTCTCTCTCCCTGTCTCCCTGTCTCCCTGTCTCCCTGTCTCCCTCTCTCCCTCTCTCCCTCTCTCCCTCTCCCTCCTCCTCCGTGTGTCTGTGTGTATCCCTGTCTATAAATCTGACATTCAAATAAATAAATCTTTTTTTTAAATAAGTCTTTAAAAAAATGGTTTTGCTGGAATGACTGTTCTGGAATTATGCAGATGTACCAAATTCACAAGCATGCATTTAAAGTTTTCTCTGCGTCAGCTTGTGTAGAAGTTTTTGAAAACACAGTTTGCTTTTTGTGGTGAGTTGTTAGCTGCACAGACTTCAAATTGACCATCTACCATTTGACTCCACCATCATTTATGGCATTTTCACCAAAGTGACAGCAATATAATGAAATATGTGAAAGGAATTTAAAAAGTTCATGGAAAAGTAGAATTAAAAGGATAAATTTATTTTGGTACAAAATTTTTGTTCATAACACATGGAAAATATATGTTGTGGAAAGAGTATGCACAGATTTCAAAATTGTTTTTGCACCAAAATAAACTTATCCTTTTAGTTCCATTTTTCCATGAACTTTTTGAAGTACTTGTGTTTATGGTATTTTGAATTTTCAGAATATTTTACTGTATATATCTTTAAATATTGATACCTAATTTCATAGAATAAAAATGATAATAGCAAAGCTTAGCCATCCTTCCTAGATTACAAAGCACTCAATTAAGAATCAAGAATCTTCAAACTTCAGGTCTTATTATTCCATCTCAGAACCTTTGTATTTTCTGGACTAGGTTGCTTTCAGTTATATCCTAAATGCTGCTGTTTCAAGATCTTTTTCTTGAAGGCACACATCTTTTGTTTTCAGGAATGTGGCCATTGGCAAGCATTACTGTCCCTCTGGTATGTTTGTTCTCAGAGCCACTGCACTGACCAGCTTGACTGTGAATCCACCCTGGGCTTAGGAGTTGGCACACCAGCACTGGACTCTTAAGAGGCATTATGCCTGTAAATCCTTTTGGAGGTCTCATTATTCTAGAAGTAACAGTTTCCTGCTTCTATTTTATAGAGGCATTAACTTAAATACACTTGAAAATAATACTAGTAGGTGTTCTTCTGCAGATATTATGCATTCATTTAATATTCTATCCATTGAATTTACTTTAGGATTCCTTGACAGAGTAAAATTGTTGTCATCAGTGGTTGAGCCTTTCATATTCCAAAATCTGACAATTTCTACTCATATTCGTTTATTCAAACCTTCCTCCTAAGACTGAGAGTTTTCAGATTTCATAATGAATGTAGTATGATACATTAGCATCTCCGTTGCTATCTGCTGTTCTCTGAAAAGGACGCCACGAGTACTTACACAGCTGTCAAATCTCTTGATAGGTTGAGGATGCTCGTTTTAATGCATGTATCTATTAGTTATTTGATGCATTCAGCAAAAATTTCAGCATAATTATAAGATATAGAAGTGGATGTTTGTTCATGTTATTCGTGCTGTTCTATAGTTACTATTATGGTTACATCTTATCCATGTAAAAACTGAAAATCCTCCTATGATGTTTTGTATGACTTTGGGCACTTTTTAGGGTATTCACTCATTCCTTCCACGTGTGATGAGTTAGTTTCTTTCTCCTGAACATGGTGTAAGATTCCATTTATACTATTCATGAGAGGAGATGAATGAGAAAGTATCCTGCTTTAAGACTAATGTAGTTAGTGATCATGGTAGCTAATATTATTAAGGTCTTGTCCTTCTAAGATTAGTGTTCACTCTTAAGATTACAGGAACAGGAGAAGCTAATTATTTTAAGGGGTCTTAGAGTGAGAATTCACATACTGATCAGCTTTAAGATTCCTCTTTCCTTGTAATTAACGTGACTCATCTTGATATTACTGATTTTTTTAAAAAATGTTGTAGGCGTAATGTTTATAATTGGCATTCATAGATTTAAGTTTAGCTAAGAAGAAACTTGACATATCATTGCTGTTTTCTGGCACTTACTGCTATGTGATTTCCATTCAGGTTTTCATCTACATGTACCTCCTTAGCTAGATCCTTGGTTATTTTCATTAAAGACTGCAGGCAGTTTTTACTAAATGTGTCTGTTTAGTGGACCGTGTATAAGTGTATTCTCTGGTTAGCAGAAGTTTTAATTCAGTTTTCTTATAAATGGATTTTTATACTTTACTAACCTCTTTTGTATTAGACTAGACATTATGAAGTTAAAGGAAAAATAGGGTAGAATTAATAGACCAAAATACATTTTAAAATTTTCTTGTCAAACCCTGTTTTTTCAGAAAGAAGATTTAAATTGCCTCATTTATATTTTGTAAAGTTTTCTTACTCTTAAAAACATACTGAAAGAATCCAACTTTAAAAAAAAAGGCATTAGGACTCACACTATCGATTTTCTTTTATGTTTGTAAACCAAACAACTCCAGCTGTACTTGCCTATTTCTTATACTTTTAGCAAAGATTAGAAATACTGGTCACAATTTTGAGAAAATTATTTATGGAATTGCAAAAAAGAGTCATTCAGCTACTTCTCAGGATGAAGATTTCAATGGTAAATAAGTCTTTTATTTCTCTACACCAGGCATATTTTCCGCCTTTGAAGTTTTCCACACTTTTATCTTAGCCATAAAGTTAAAGGTGATGTCATCGCTTTGGGAAGATAATCCTAGGAGCTAGTATTGGTACAGGAATCACTCTGAAGTGTTATAGCATATATCTGTTGCAACAAAAGTGGGAATTAACATGGATAATAGCAAACAATAAGTCGTCCAGATAAGGGCTAAGCTGTCAGTCAAGCTCTCAGCCCCAAAACAAAATCTGGAGGAAGCTTTGAATTTCTTCTGTCCTTATCTATACCAATTCCTTTTCATGTCTTTGCTTTGAACCAGCAGACATTATTGATGATGTTGAAAGACTATGCCATCATCTTTATGACCAAATGGAAGGAATAGAGACTTTCCACCAAGAAATAGCATTGAAGATGAAGGTAGTAAAGGTTTGGAAGCAAGGGGTAGGGAGAGAGAGCACGTGTCTCAGGCTCAGCATGAAAAAGAGAGGATGAAGGAAACACAGACAACAACTACACACTATCTGACAAGCTAGGTTTTTGAGGCAAAATTCTACTGAGACATGACAGCCATCTACTGCGGAGTCTCTTAACTGCCGAATCTGTTCCCATCAGGCAGACTCCCAGGCTTCCACAGAATGACTATCAAGGCATTTCTCCAAAAGTCATGCAGATACAGTGGTATGTGACGTACTCCATTCTGGAGGGATTTCCCAAATCGACCCTAGGTTTAGCTGCTTGCCCATTTGTCATAACTTGAGACACCCATGTTCATTAACTTCATTGTCCCATTTGTTGGTTACTCACAGTTTTCATGGGTAATCACTTCATAGGTCAATGTCAAAAATTATCTTCAACACCTTATGTTCTATTTTTGCCTAGGACTTGAAAGGAATTGCTGTTGCCTGATTCTTGTATTTGTTGAGAGTACTTCCTATATCTTTCGTCCCTTAATTATTTTCTTTTTATCTTCCCTTAGACTGTTCCTCAGCACTTGCCGAGGTCTTGTTTAGTTGTGGACAATCTCCTCTTCTGACACTTGATCTAACAATAGCATTTCCCCCAGTATTCCTATTACACTATTCTCAGAATGCTGGTAGTATTTGTGGATCCTAAACATTTAGTCTTTCTTTGTGTCCCCTAAAAACTTCCTGGGTATGTGTGATGAAAATCTAAAACCTAGCTGACTGTCAACCAGCATGGGTATACTATGTTAAGGATACAGCTAACTGAGGTCGTCCCATTTCTTCTGTCACTGCCTTAAAATGCTTGCAGATGCACAACTCCAAATTGAGTATTAAATTCTCTCTCATTTTGCTTACTTTTCCCTTTAAATGTTAGCTGAGGCAGTTCTTTGCCGTGTTTAACTACTCATTCAGGCCGTATCACACTAGCAACAGATCCAATTCAATAAATATGTTATTTTCTTTGTACACAGGGAACAAAGAAGAGGGGTGCTTTTGCTTTAGTAGTTATATTCCTCCCCGCTACCACCACTACACACTCTCTTGCTGAGAAATATATGCAACAAATAATTTTCCTTTTCCTTTTCCATTGTTCTCTATAGGAATTTTCAAGTGCTCCAATTCAGTGTCAAAGTCTTCCTGTAGAATTTTCACATTGGACTGGAACAGTTGGAAATCCCAAATATGTGGTTTAATCCCATGACTTATTGAAGCGGTATCAGAGATGTATTATTCAACTCGATCATCAGGATGGCGTGTTTATACATATTTAATTCCTTGTTTCTCTTCTGAGTTGAGAAACTTATTAATCAGAAGTCTCAGAACTGTCTTTGCTTATTCATGGTGGTCAGGACACATATTCTTAGATTCACTCTGCTAAATTCAGTATTCTTACTGATTTTTATTTCAAGAGGCTGTCTTGAGGTAAGGTTGCACCTTATATGAAGTTTCACTGTCAATGCTGATTCATTAAAAAAAAAAAAACTTTCCCTCATCATCATCACCACCATCAGGTTACACACCGTTGATTTAGTATTCAGTATTTTCACACCCAAAAAATTGTTTTTTGCCATTTTGTCACACGTACATTTAATATGCTTACAGAAGAGTGATTTTTCTCCTGCTATATAAATCTGCTTGCAAGCACTTAACAGCCTCTTTCACCTTTGATTTCTGAAATTTGGAGCTTTGGGATTCAGAATATGGAGAAGTGCTGCAGGCTAATTGACACTTCCTAATATTACTGCATCTTCATATCCAAAGGATTTTATTACAGTGCCATCCATTGGAGGTCATGATTATATTCTGGATCTCTATGAACCATTTAATTAAATGAACTGCTTCTAAGGCACAATTTTTCTGTGTATGTTTATGGTGAGTGATTCTTTTAAAGGCTCCCAAGGTTTTGATCAATGCTGGTTGGCTTTGGAATCTTTCCTATGTAGATTGAATTTAAAGAGAATTGTTGCTTTCAGGGGCCTCCAGGTAAAGTTGGTAATTTCAATAGTATATACTCTTACTTGTATCCACTTTCTGATGAATTATAGACTATATATATAGTTATCTCTGTATATAGAACTATATGTTATATATATATATATATATATTTACAAATTGACCAGTGAGAGACTGATTCCTTTATAAGATGAATTTCGGAGAGAAATTCCAAATGAATTGATTTAACTTTATTTGATGATGACTTTGCATTTCTTTTTCCTCCTCCTATGCAATTTGTTTTAAATTCCCACCAGGAATATCTATTATTAGCCTCCTTTTGGATAGCAATAGTGCTATTTTCTGATGAATAGAAGAACATATTACAGAAGTGGATTCGAGGGGTGGGTGTCAGGACACAGTGGGTCAGGCTGCCACTTGGATGCCCACATCCAGTATCAGAACACCTGGGATCCAGTCCCATCTCTGCTTCCTAGCCAGCTTACTGTTAGTGTGCCTGGGAGGGAGCAGGTGATGGTCCTACTCTTTGGATCCCTACCGCCCCCATGGGAGACCCGTATTGAGTTCTTGGCTTCTCGCTTGGCCCTGGCCCAGCACTGGCTGATCTGGCTATTTGAGAAGTGAATTGGTAGATGAAAACTCAATCTCTCTCTCTCTCTCTCTCTCGCATTTTTTTCTTCTCCTCCTCCTCCTCTCCCTGTCACTCTGCCTTACTGATAAATAAGTTAAAAGCAAAGGTGGATTGCGTGTTTATAAAGCTCGTGTGTTGAATTTGCAGTTCCACCACGCAACTTGATGATCGATATCCAGAAGGACACTGCGGTGGAGGGCGAGGAGATCGAGGTCAACTGCACCGCCATGGCCAGCAAACCAGCCACGACTATCCGGTGGTTCAAGGGGAACAAGGAGCTGAAAGGTAAGACGCGGAGTGCCCTATGCCGCCGTGGTTAGTCAGCACTTGATTCTAGCAAGTGCGCCTTCATGGGAATGAAAGCCCCTGAAACAAAAGCACGCATTTAGATACGGCTTAGAATCAACTACTAAATAACAGCTGAGGCCAGAGCACAGCTGCCTGTCATCCTAACTCATGTCCTCATTGTGTGGTTTGAGGTTCATGGTGATCCTTGTTCTGTTCAGACACCCAGAAGAGACTAAACCTGAAAACCGGAACTCTTCGTATTAGGAAGAACTGTTAAGTATTCCCTGAGTTCAGGCTGTCTGTGTCTGTACCTGCACTTCTCACTGCCTTCATCCTGTCTTTTGTGTGACTCAGAGTCGATCAGACCCTTAAATTCTCATGTTACACAACTTTTTAAATGTATTACTGTCTTTCATATGATGAGTTCCAAGTCATTCTGACATCTATTGAGTTGTGTTCAGTGGACTAAGAATTTTATCTTAATTGTGAGCTTACAGGGACCACCTTTCTTGTGAAACCTATAATTGTGTTGCCTAAGCTTACCAGGCTATTCTTTAGCAAAGTCTCTGGTTTCATGGTGGTGGTACGGGCTGCTCCTTTGTCCTACTCCCATTGCCTCTCCCTCCGTGTCAGGCCATCCACATTTTATTTTTTAAAGATTTGCTTACTTATTTGAAAGGCAGTCACAGAGAGATCTTCCAAATGCTGGTCGACTCCCCAGATGGCCGCAACAGCTGGGGAGGACCAAGGTGAAGCCAGAAGCCTAGAGGTCCTTCCTGGACACCCGAACAGGTGTGGCAGGAGCCCAAGCACTGGGGCCATCTTCTGCTGCTTTCCCTGGCACCTTATCAGGGAGCCGGAGCTGGAGCAGAGAGCAGCCAGGACTGGAACCAGTGCTTAGAAGTGATGGAGGTGCTGCAGCCAATGGCTTAACCTGGTGTGCCATCACACCCACCCCCACCACCTCAGCTGTGCACTAGGTAAACAATGCAGCATGGATTCTGTTTGGCTTTTTTCATCAGTTGACCCAAGTCCTTCATGTTCCCTTATGTGTTGCCCTGCAAGCAGTACCCTGAGCACAGGGCTCAGGGATTGAACTTTTTCAGTTATTTGTCAGCACTGCTAGCTAGCCTGTGCCTCAGTTTCCCCTAACACGGGGACCCACATGTTACAGGATCCTTATGACCACAAAATAAGTGAATGTTTGTAGAGTACTTAGCTGTACCTGGGCCAAGGTAAGTGCTCTGGATGTGCTTGCAAAAAAAAAAAAAAAGAAAGAAAGAAATAAACAAACAGTGTGAGGAAGAAAAGAATAAGCCCTTTTAGAAAGAGAATCTAGAAATCTCTGTCTGGAAACAGACAAATCCATACCAGCTTAAGTTTCTAAGAGCCTGTTCTGTTTTAATCTCCTCTTTCCTAGGTATGGTTTTGGAAGGAAGGAGTTTTTCATTTCCCCTCTGCTTTTCTGTCTGAGTGAATTGAGCCATTAAATGTGTACCGATAAGTACAAAACATTAAAAGAAAGTTAATGGTGTGCTATGTTCCTGGGAGTGCCGCGTTCAGGAAGGGACCGCCGTAGCCTATTCATTCCAGCCGGAAGCCGCCTCCCTCTTTTTCTGGGTGTTCTTGGACGTGTCTCCCATCTGGCCCAGAGCCCTGGATCTTACTCTGCTCTAGCCCACTGCCACTGCATTTTTGTGGTCTTCCAAAAGTCTCAGAGTTTAAACATTTCAATTACAATTTCAATTATGTAAATCCATTTAGTTACTTTGCCTCCTAATTGTTGATGATGGGGATAGGCAAAAGGGGTTGTTTATATCTCTACTGCTGATTGAATTACTTAGGGGATTTGGATGATGTCCTAGAATTCTTAAATGGCGTGACAGCCTTCTAGATATTTCAAGTTGAGATGGTTTTCAGGGGTGAAAAGCACTTTTCTTTTACTCCTTCTGAGTTCCTTAGGCAGCCAGATGTCAAAATGGGTGAAGTCAGAGCTGATTTGTGGGAGGGTCTAAGATAGAGGAAACTTGCATAATACATTTTATGAACAATAGTGTAGACACAGGCATTTGGTGCAGTGGTTAAGACGCTGCTTAGAACACCCACATCGCATACCAGAGTGCCTGGTTCAAGTCCCAGCTCCATTTCTGATCCAGCTTCCTGCTGACATGCATCCTGGGAGGCAGCAGATGATGGCTCACGTACTTGGGCCATTGCCACCCATGCAGGAGACCCAGACTGAACTGTAGGCTCCCAGCTTTGCCCTGGCCCAACCCTGGCTGTTGCAGGCATTTGAGGTGAACCACGGGATGAAAGATGGCTCAGTCTATGTTTCTGTGTGTCACTGTCTCTTCCTTTCAAATAAAATGCAAATAAATAAATTTTTAAAATTAAAAGAAGAAAAATTGTGTACGTTATTTGGGGTTCAGATATATCCTAATTACTGTTCTTCAAGGTTGAAAAGTAGGAAATAATCATGGTATCAATTATCTGTCCACAGATTACCCTTATCCCAAGTGACTTCCATCATACTAGTTAAAATAGCAGTTCTGGGGTCGGGGAGGGGTTGCGGGAAGAACTAAAATCAGAGTGATGGAAATTTACCCAGCTGTGGTTGCGTGATGCACTCTGTGTCCGGCAGGCAAATCGGAGGTGGAAGAGTGGTCAGACATGTACACCGTGACCAGCCAGCTGGTGCTGAAGGTGCACAAGGAGGACGACGGGGTGCCGGTGATCTGCCAGGTGGAGCATCCTGCAGTCACTGGAAACCTGCAGACCCAGCGGTATCTGGAAGTACAGTGTGAGTACCCTGGTGCCTGGCTGAGAGGGCACTGAATAGCAGTTGTTTAAAAAACTCTTCGGGAGCCATTTATTGGGCACAGACAGTTTATATAGTATAAATAGAATTTTTTTTCCCTTTGTCTTGGTAAAAGAATGATCAAAGGATTGTTTTACTGAAATCCCACCATATTATAAAGTGAAAACACTGCGTTGAAGCCAAATGTAAAACTAAAATGATTCCAAATCCGGGGTAACATATGACTTGATTTCTTTGATCGTAGACTGTCATTTCCCTGCCAATTTCAAAATCTAGAGTAATCCTCTCCGTTTTCAATCCCGTCGTAACGGCTGAATTTTTTTATAGAAGGGATTTTATTCCCATTATGTATCAGCGTTTTGTTTTAAATTGCATGCTCTCTTCTATTTTAGCTTAACTTGTAGTGATGAGTTTAGAAGTCGAACTCTTTGGGATCCCTGCCAGTCTTGATGGCTTCATCAATAAGGGCGAGGCCATAGTGAGTGAGGGTGTCTCCTTGCCGTGCCCTGTGGACCAAATGCATTCTCTTCGTCTTCTCCTCTGGACGCTTCTGATGAGGAGGAAATTATGTTTCCTGTGCAGAACCCATTCAGGGCCAAGGTTGTAGCCAAGTGCCAGCTTCTTGCCTTTTTTCAGGAGGCTTCTGCATGTCGGCCTATGAAAAAGCCCAGTGATATTTGAGTATGCAGAGCTGAAATGTTACAAATGTGCTTAGGGTGACAGTGACCTCTCTTATGTTCCTGGGGCTGCCATATTAAATGGCCACACATCTGGTACCCTGAAACAGCAGACATTTCTTCTTCCACAGTTCTGGAGGTCAGAAGTCCAGAATCACGGGTTGGCAGAGCTGTTCTCTGTCCAGTGGCTCTGGGGAGGATCTATGCTTTGCCTCTCCAGTTCCTGGGGGGGCTCTGGGAGTCTGCCTCTGCCCTCACACGGCTTTCTCCTCTGCCTGTCTCTTTCAGGTCACTGGATGTGGGGCTCACTCAAATAATCAAGAATGGCTTCATTTCAAAACCCTTAAATTATATCTGCAAAGACCCTTTTTCCAAAAGTAGGCCCAATTCACAGGTTCCAGGGGCTAGAATGTGGACATCTTTGGAGGCAGCTCTATCCAGTCCTCACCAGATGTTTAAATGGCTTGAACAAAACGGGGCAGGGAAAGTCACAAAAAGTTGCTTCTAAAAGACCCTCCCATTCCAGCCTTTTCTTACTCTGAGCTTGGCTCAATTTAACATTACATAATGCAGGTTTTTCTTGCTAATTCATTTCATCTACTTCATTATATAGCTTCATTATGAGCATCATGCTTATAATTTTCATATCACTAAAACTATTGTGGTGTAATGTCCCTATAATGGAAAAACAGAAATGATCAGATATTATCTAAATTGGCAGATAGTAGATTTCTTGTGACTTTGCTAATATGTAATTCATTTAAGCAAACTTAATATCCATTAACTTTCCTTGTAGGGGCCCATTAGCTTTAATAATACATTAACTCCTTTGTGAGTCCTGAGTAGATATTCACTCAGTTTCCACCCTGAAACTCCTTAAGTAGTTTCCCAGAGTATCTTTTAAACAGAAGATAGCAATATAGCTCCACCCACCTACAGAATTACACTCACTCCCAAATGCAAAATAATTTAGGCAGTGCACCTCCTACTCCTTGGAAAACTTGATAATGATCCTTATAAGCATTGTCTTCCATATTCTACAGATGGAGCTGAGATTCATGCTTCCAAGAAAAGGAGTCGAGCTCCCTGTCTGAGTCCATGTGACTCCAGGCTAACAAAGCACTGCCAGCGACTCTTGAGGATGCACCCTGCTGATCATGCTCCACTCTTCACAGAGCCCTGTGTGCGGGAGACTCTGCTCCTTTATGCAGTGTTAGATCACTCAAACACTTTATCCTTGATACTCCATTTTTGGGACCATATATAGGAAAACGCTTTGTTAAAAGATTTACTTATTTGAAAGGCAGAGTGACACAGAGAGAGAGAGAGAATATCTTCCATCTGCTGGTTCAGTCCCCAAATGTCTACAGCAGCCAGGCCTAGGCCAGTCTGAGGCCAGGAGCTAGGAACTCCATCCAGGTCTCCCACATGTGTGGCGGGAACCCAAGTATTTGGGCCATCATCTGCCATCTATGCTCAAGAAAATCATGTGGCAGCTCACTGGCCTCTGTTCTTAGAGGACCATTGAGAACTCGGCAGAGTCAGCCAGGAATTCCTTAAATAACTGCATCAAACATGATTGGCCTTCCCTGCATCATTTCCTACCAGCTTCGCCCCCGTTGAACATGAGCAGCCATACGGTAGCAAAAACCACCTGCCATTGGACCCTGAGTGTTGGGGGTCAGTTTGCTGTCCGCCATGGCAGTTCTTTGAAGACCAGCAGCGGCATAGCTGGATGGCTGTGAGGAAGCATGAGATTAGTTAGAATAATCCGCATGTGTGTTGAATAATGTTAGACATTCTGTGAGGAGAAACATGCCTGTATTTTTGAGGTCATCTAAACTCACAGACAGAGGTTCTTAACCTTTTTGGCAATCACTGACCCCTTTAAAAATCCTCTGATAGCTCTAGACCTGCAAAAGATGAATACAGTCACGTAGCTACCACATCTGCCCAGCATTTAACAATCCCATTTTGCTCTGAAAGTTTTCCTAATTTCCCTCTTCAAAGGTCACTTTGACGTGTTTTGCTGTGTTCTTGGGTCATCTGTACTCTTTATTTACAGTTTTTCTTTAAATCACTTGATTTCTTTATTCTAACTGAAATATACGTGAAAGGACTTTTAAAAATATGAATTTTGCTTGTTTATCTACATTTGTCTAATAAACATTAAAATAAGTATATGGATATTCTTTTTTTAATGTCCTTTCCTTCTCCACCTAAACAGATTTCTTATATTATCAGTGATAAACACTATCACAAGGAAATACTGAGCCCTTCATGGACTTCAGATTCTCTGAGTAAATAAGATGACCTTGGGGCAAGTCTAACCTGATATGAGTGCTATTAAGTGCACTCACTGTGTTTAACCCTGACCCATTTTGGCCCATGGAGGTTTATGGAAATGTCTCTCCACTCCATCTAAGACAAATGGATGTTAACCAGGATATGAATAGGGTTAAATGACAGATAATAGATTTGAATTCAGTGTAAGTTATATCCTTTCTAAAAAATAAGAATTTTTTTAAAAAAGAATAAGAACAGGAAATAATTGTATACTCTTAAATATCTTTTCTCTTTTTTAAAAAAAAATTATTAATTTATTTGAAAGAGGTATACAGAGAGAGAGAGAGAGAGAATCAGGGAAGGAGGGAGGGGGAGAGAGAGAGAGAGATCCTATCTTCTAGTTCACTCCTCAAATGGCTGTGACAGGCAGGGCTAGAGCCAGGAGCCAGGAACTTCTTCAGGGTCTCCCATGTGGGTGCAGGGACCCAAGCATTTGGGCCATTTTCCACTGTTTTCCCAGGTGCTTTTAGCAGGGAACTAGATTGGAAGTAGGGAAGCCAGACTGGAACCAGTGCCCAAATGGGATAACAGCATTGCAGGTGGCAGCTTAACCCGCTATGCCACACTGTCAACCCCTTAAATATCTTATTTTATGAGGAAAGGGGAGGAAGGATAAAAAGATGGGAAAGTTTACACTTCTCCCCCTAATAAACAGGAGTGCCACCATATCACATAGAAGACAAGGCCTGAGCTACAACTTGGAATTGCTTTTGTCTTGTGGATCTAAGTACTAATTAATTGAACCAGAATTGTGCAGTGTTTGTTTGCTAGTACCCTTATTTGTGGTACCAGGAGAAATTGTTGTGCCCAATTATGTGAGAAATCAGCCAGATGTGTATGCTGTCATACTTTTAATAATCCTTAAGTTTTTGGTGAGTACAGATATTAATTGTGTAGTATGCATTGAAGTGATTAACATCAATGTAATTTATTATCTGGAGATTTCTGAACGTAAATAAATGAGTTGTTTTGTTCAGCAAGGTGTTGACCCCTTCAGAATCAGTGAATTAAAGTCCCCCCCTTTTTATTATAAATATGAAAGGCACCACAATCAACCAAGTGTTCAGTTATTTGATTTTCTGGGGCATTAGCCGCTCTTGTTTGTGACATTTCCCTGTTGGGTGCTCGTTTGCAAGCTCATTAATAAGGTTTTCTCATAGGAATGTTGCTGGGAATGAGGAACATATAGTAGGGCTCTTAGTTTTCCAGCTTTCATTCTGAGACTCAGCAAGGGTACCGCAGCAGCACGCAGTTAAATGTTTGAAACGCAAAATAATTACATTTGCGGCTAGAATTCAAAGCTCTGTTTTCTTAGATGTTATGCAGTGAACGGTTTTGCTTTTTACTGTTCTCAGCTATATGACCCCAAAATCTTCCTGTGCATTTTTTCTTGCAAATGCCAGCACAGGTGGTATTACCCAAATCTGCACTGTGCTCCGTTATAGCAGAGTGTGATACAATTGTAGCACAGTTAGTACAGCTTCAGATCCCAGGGAAGGCACTCTTGTCAAATAAAAGCCTGTTTAAAGGAGAACAGTTCACTGTCTGCGCGTTAAAAGGAAGCTGTCTAAATAGCATCAAGGTGGCAACACGTAGCGACATAAGCTGGGAATTCAAAGAAGAGCTGTGACCCTCAGTATGGAATTCAGATTGCAGTGCACAAGGGGGGGAAGCCTTCCTGTGGACGCAGGCGAATATGAAACCCTTGAATTACTGCTGCGTGTCTTTTGATTTCACCCATCATAGCCTTGCTGTTTAAAATATTTTGCAAAAATTCTCATTTTGTGAGGCTTGTGTGTGTGTGTGTATGTGTGCACGTGCACACGTATTTGCAAAAAACAACGACAAAGAATTGAAGAGATGAGTTTTGAAAGGGAGAAAGAAAACAAAGCCTGTCGAAATAGGTATCTGAATGCCTTCCCTGCTCTGATTATCATCTGACAGTTAATCGTGTATGTG